GATATTCATTTTGTGTATGGCTTCGTAAATGGAAATGCAGCAGAAGCAGCCAGAGAATACGCACGAAGATTTCCACACAGACGACACCCAACTCGCTGTATTTGTAAGAGTGCATCGCCAGATAATTGAAAATGGTTTTGGAAATCTCCAAAGGGATCAAAACGTAAATGTTCGTCAGCGCAGATTTACCCGTATGATTCTGCGTGAGTTGGATAGAGATCCGACCACAAGTGTTAGGAGAGTTTCTGGTGCCTTGGGAATTTCAGCAAGCCATGTTCACCGTGTTCTTAGAAATGACCATAGACGTCCTTACCATTTGCAACCTGTGCAAGGACTACAGCCAGGGGACGGAGAACGAAGAATCACATTTTGTCAGTGGATTCTTGATAGAACTGATAATAATAGGGAGTTTTTAAGTAACGTTTTATGGACCGATGAGTCATGCTTCACTAGACGTGGAGTGGTAAATTTTCATAATCAACATATTTGGTCGCATGAAAATCTGCATGCAGTTCAGGAAATAAATTTTCAGCATGAATTTAGTGTGAACTTGTGGATTGGTGTCTACCGTAATCGACTATTTGGACCCTACCTTTTGCCTGCAAGGTTAAATGCTGCGACCTTCTTGGAATTTTTAAAGGCTGAACATGCAAATATGTGGAATGATGTTATGTTAGATTTAAGAAGATTGGCCTGGTTCCAGCTTGATGGTTGTCCAGCTCATTATTCGAGAATAGTTAGAAACTGGCTGGACGAAAATTATCCAGAAAGATGGATCGGCTGTGGAGGACCAGTTGCCTGGCCTCCACGATCCCCTGACCTAAATCCATTAGATTTCTTTGTGTGGGGATTTCTAAAAGAAAAAGTGTACCAGACTCCCGTAACCACAAGATATATGCTAATTGACAGAATCAGGAATGCATGTGATGCAATAAGGCCTTACTTGAATAATGCTATACCACGTTTGATCATTCGTAGATGTGAATTGTGTATTGAACAATTGGGTTTACATTTCGAACAACAACTTTAGATTTTGTATGCTTGTCGTAACTATCCAATAGCATTTTAGTTGTTAATAATTCATTTAATTTGTTAAAAATAATATTGGAAAATTAAACAAATTAATATTCTGTTTTTTGTGTGTTTATTTGGAGTTAGGAATTATTGCTGTGTTTAAAAACACAATCTAAACGATTATCTTAATTACTTGTAATGCCCAAATCGAAAATGTAAAAAAAATATTATTTTCCCATAAATAATTAAAAATGCGTCGAACCTTAAAAATCGAAATATCTCAAAAACGGCTAACTATAACGAAAACTAACAGGAGAGCTTTTTTATGTTGAAAAGTGCGAAGAATCAGTTTTTTTATTCAAAAAGCAAAAAATTGCACTAAGAAAAATTTTTCGGTCATTTTAATACACTACAGGTACAGTAGAGAGCGCCCTCTAGCGGCTACAGTAAAACTATGCCCATGTTTCGTTTTGTCGTACCAAAAAACCCTTGTGTACCAATTTTCACTGTTATACATCAAATATTGTTCGAAATATTTAAAAAAAACTATTTTAGAAAGTAAATTTGAACACCCTGTATTTCGGAAGCAACGCATTTTTCGACCCATGTTTATATAGACTTTATGCATCAGTTTTAAAAGTTCTATCGAATCTTAAAGTTATGCAACAATAAACTGAAACACCCTGTATATAATTATTTTTGATGGATGTGATTATTAAATGTAAATATAACTATTAAATTGAACCATTGGATGTTGGAGAGATCTAGTTTTAAAATAAAAATCCGCATTACTGCATTTTTCCTTTGAAATAATAATATAAATAGATTATGAAAACTTTGGAAAATAGCAGTAAATTTGATTTTCAGACTATAAAAGCAGTATATAACATCTGAATGCTTTATGATTTAAGACAATTAAAGACGGTGTCACGTGCCAAAATCACATAACCTTTGTTTTTACTGTTTTGATCACATATCAGTAATTTGAATTTCTGTTCATTAATAGTAGGGTACCTAACTTTTTGCAATGATTCTATTTTGGCAAATTTCATAGCTTATTGATTGTATAATTTCTCACGTATTATATCTGTCATTCTCAGCGACTCAGTATTGTATTGAAATCTTTCTTCTATCTGAGAACTTTCCTCATAAAATATTGTTGGTCCCTCGTAGACAGATTTGTTTCTGCCTACAGTCTGTCCATAGGCAACCAGCGCGCAATCTTGTGATTTTCATACGTATTAGCCATATATGAATGTTTACCTTCCTATCAAGATACCTTCTTTACCGGCTTTTATCTGTTCCTTTTGCTGTTCTGTCGAACGTGCCTTTTTCAGGGCCACTGATTCAACCCTCTTTTAGGGGGTTGCGTGAGCAGACGGTCCAGCGCTATTTTCTTTACGCTGTGATTTTGGTTGTGTGGGGTCGTTTTTTCGTTAACTTCCAGATTTTGGGATATTAACGCCCCAAGCACCAGTTTATGTATTTTATTTTTTAACTTACGACAAGTCGTGTTGGTTAGGGCACTATCCGTCCATTTTGTTATGGGATTTTAACCTCCAGCGGTAAGTTCTTTTTTCTAAACCATCGGACTGTGTCCATTAATGCTTGTCCTGAAGAAGTTTGTTCAATATCTGATTCCTTTTAGTGGAAAGGCATTGTAGAGAACCACCATTCACACTCCTCCAGCTTTGTTTTGTAGCTGCCTTGTAGCTGTTTCGCAGCCGATTTTGTTGGAAGCCATCCCTTCCCCTTTATAAAAACCCTGAAGTGAACAGGTAAAATATCATGTTAATTTGGTATTATATAGATATTGATATATTGATTGTTGCTGACTGAAATTCTTAGACTGTTCTTGATTTTGTTTGGCATTTTACGAATTCAGTTTTTTCTTGCCCTTGCAGAAAGAAGAATAGTTTTCTTGTAAACGAGAATGTTCATGGATTTTTCTTCAAGTTTGAGTCTTTTAAATGTGTAGTTCTGCCTCAGGCATAGAGTAGAGAGTAGATTTTTAAACAGTCTTTTTCTCTCTCTAGGGTTTTTTTATACCATAAATTTTGAGAACGAGGCAAGCAGCCCCTACCTTGTGACGTTCCTTACGTCACTGCTCACTACTGGCCACTGAGTTTTGCATTGGCCGACCCTTAGATTTCATTTATAGTAATTTATTAATTCATTGATTAATTTAAAACAAGTAAAGTGGAATCACACCACCATTTCCTCATATTTATTTATAAAAAAGGCGTGGCCACGGGACGTCATTTATTTTATACTCCGACAACAATTATGATCCGAAATCACATTTAAACGACACTCTATAAGGTCATGTAACTTTGCAATATTAATTCGTTTATTTTGTATCGAAATGATACTATTTATTTAAGTCAAAAAATTACAGAATTTTGAACTCAATTTCCTCAAACTTCGATTTGTACACTTTAACACAAATTCAGAACCCCACATCGCGTGAGCTGTGCTTTTACTTGCTTGTTTACTCACCAGGGTTCGACCGAAATTAGTATTTCAGACGAAACCATAATTTCGGCCCAATTTTAGTTTCAACCAGAACTGAAACCTTTAGATGAATAGTGTGATATGGGACATGGGGGGTTGGTACCTCCCAATGGAAGATAAGATAGTAGTGCTTTCTCAAAAAAAAACTCGGTCTTTATTAACTATTATTAGTCATAATAGCAGTTTATTATTAAACAAAAAAAACTCTATATAATAAGTAATAACCAGTCTTTGTCAACTATTATTGAGACTTGGTTGAAGAAAACTAAATCATACTGCATTGGTCTCTTAAAATATAAAAAATTCCTTTTTGTTTCCAACATTTTGTAAAAAAACAATACAACAAAAGTCACAACTTATTGGCCGTTGCGCCAATATTATTTAACGTTAGATTAGACCATTGATTCCCAAAGTGGTCTATATCGACCCCTAGGGGTCTATGACAACCTGCAAGGGGTCTACGTCAGCGAAAATAAATTTGGGGGTCCATGAAATGAACATGGGGGTCCACGATAGTGGATCTCAACACATACACTGATAGTACCTATTTACTTACATCATACTATCTTATAATATCAAAACATATACATTATTTGTAAAAGTACCTATGAAGTAGAAAATTTATTATATATGTTTATAAAATTGTGTAAGTTGTAGGATGTTGGTATTCGCTTTGTGGTCGCAATACATTTTGAACTTGTAAAAACCTGAGAGTCGCAGTCTCAGAGCTTCGCTACCTTGCACTGACTTGTTCAATTCGTCACTCTATAAATACGAATGTGGGACAAATACGTTTATTCGTTTCCTGAATCTTGAAAAGGAAAGTGCTAAGAAAATATTTTAAAAATATAAACAGATAGTATATCACACAAATTATAGTGAGTCAGTGTTATTTTGTTTGAGAGTGCTGGAGAAAAGTAAGTACATTATTTTTTATTGAATTTTAGTTTTGTACTCGTAGTTAGCAAAGATAGATAAATTACGACAATCATGACTTTAATTATTAGTAGTTAAATATTCAATCATGCAAAATTACACGAGTACTTCTCAATGGTTTCTTTTTGAAAATTTTAGCAATCGGTAATATAATTACCGTGCACTCTCCGTAATTCGAGCTAATTGTTGCAAGAAGATGTTCGAATTATGGAATGTTTTCGGAAAAATCAAAAAATATTTTTAATATACAGCTGCTGGATTTTCTGTCTTATTTAAATAATTTAATTTTCCCCACAGATGACTGATGCCATGTCCGAATCTAAAAAAAATGTAGACAGTACAGTGTTGATTATTTGAAATTTGGCTTCATTCCATTATTGACGGACAAACAATCGCCTATGTGCCTTTTATGCAACAAAGTTTTGGGCAATGACGCTATGAAACCATCTAAACTGCAAGATCATCTGAGAAAATGCCACCCTGATAAAACAGAGAAAGATTTGAAATGCTTTCAAACACTCAAAGATAAAATTCAGAAGAGACCTACACTGGACAGAATGTTCGCTTCGACGTTACAAAGAAATGATGATGGTTTGCGGGCGTCTTACGATATCTCGTTACTTATAGCAAAATCCGGAAAACCGCATACTAGCGGAGAGAATTCAATTTTGCCAGCCGTTGAAGAGGTTTTAAAAACTGTTTTACACAAACCTGCATCTGATATCATTAGAAGAATTCCCTTAAGCAACAATACTGTTGAAAGACGTATTGATGAAATGAGTTCTGATATTGAAAGCTTCTTATCTAATTATTTGCAAACGACCCATTTCTCTATACAACTGGACGAGTTAACTTTACCTGATAATGCAGCATTATTATTGGCATATGTTCGTTTTATTATGAATCAAGAAATCTACGAAGAACTGGTCTTCGCAAGAACTTTGATAACCGACACTAAAGGTGAATCAATATTTCATGTTTTGAAGGATTACTTCATTGAAAAAGCAATTCCTTTATCAAATATAATATCAGTAGCTACAGATGGAGCACCTGCCATGGTTGGGCGTTAGCGTGGATTTACAAGCTATTTAAAACAAAATGTGTCAGGGGTGTTAGCAATACATTGCGTCATCCATCGACAACATTTAGTTGTGTTTTTACTTTAAGTTTTTAACACTAAACTTCACTACAGTTAGAAATTTACAGGAAATCAATATCAGGTAAGTAGTAACACGGAAAAACATGGCAAGGGGTCTACGACACAAAAAAGTTTGGGGAACTCTGGATTAGATAAAAACCTAGTTTAATTTGAAGATTGTTATTGCACAAGTACTTAAACCCCTTTTAAAATTTTGTAAACTGTGTTTAACTAAAACGATATTTAGTCTAAAACACGATGATTTGTGTATCCTTGAACCGAAAAATAGTGATTTTCTAGAAGAATTATTCAGACCAAAAACAAAAACTATTTCCAAGAGATTAGTAGCTATGGCATTTTTAATTTGAACAAACTGTTTTGAATATCCTGCTGAAACTGAGCCTGAACTAGAACTCTTCAATGATTTGTAAATGAGAAATCATACGAACGTAGTTTCGATTTCGGTTGCATTTTCGGCGGATCTTCTGCCGAAACCGAGAGATCGGTCAGCCACTAATACCAACCTCTGTCTGCACCCATGGCTAAGAATACCTCTACAAACAACATATGTTAAGTGTGCATATCTTTCGACCGGATACAAACGCATATTTCACGGAGATATCAACGGCAACAGAGAGACAACATGTGGTTAGTTTTTATGATATGGCGAACATTATCTCTACCAGAACTGCTTGAAATAACACCGTCCGTAACAAACACGATATGGCATTAATTTCCCACGTGCTATCACTAATTGAAAACAAAATTCATTGAATACCCGCGCTGCCCTTTACACAATTTTGAATATTTTGAAACTATTGAAGAAACGATAAAGCTCTGAGGAGAGCAATAAGGTTTCCAGACCTAGCCAGACATCGATGCATCAGACGAAAGAATTAAGAGGTTATTTAAATTCTTTTTAAAGTGTCCTTTGAGAATATTCATTCATCTTGGCATTCTCTTTGAAAAATTAGCGATTTTTTGTGTGATTGGTCTCATCTTTCCGCTGAGAAAATCCTATCAATCTGGGGAAATCACATATGTAATAATAATAATAATAATAATAATAAACGAGGACCGCTTGGAATGTAATAAAACAGAATAAAAATGCATCTAGACATGAAGTAATTAAATTAAAAGTGAGAGATGAATTAATAACAGAACCAAAAGAGGTTGCCGATAAATTTATGCAACATTTTAATAGTATTACAGAACTATACGTAGATAACAAAGTGGGAAATAGTATTAATATAGATAGGAACATTCATTCATTTTATCTCAGACCTGCTGTAGCAAATGACATATCAGCTATTATAAAACATCTTAAAGGTTCTAATTCTTTTGGCGCAGACAGAATTAGCACTAATATGTTAAAATTTTCATCTCTGACATCGTTTGCCAACCTCTTGCTTTTTTAATTAACTGCTCCATCGAAGAAGGAATTTTTCCCGACAAACTTAAGATTGCAAAAATTAGGCCGGTGTTTAAGTCTGGAGATAGGTTTGATATGTGTAACTTCAGACCTATCTCACTTCTTAGTCCCTTCTCGAAGGTGTTTGAGAAATATGTCTCTCTGCAACTCATCAATTTCTTTGACAGATTCAAATTATTTAATAGTAATCAGTTTGGATTTAGAAAAGGTATGTCAACCAAAAATGCCGTACTTCGTTTCCTGGATGATTTATATCTCAAGATGGATAAAGGAGAAAAATGCATAGGTATATTTCTTGATTTAAGCAAAGCTTTTGACTTGGTTGACCATGATATTCTGCTAGATAAAATGGATAGATATGGAATCAGAGGGAAGCCATTTGACTGGTTCCATAGCTATCTGTCGGATAGAAAGCATAATGTCGAGGTACAAAAGCCAACATTTCTACCATACTGGTGTTCCACAGGGTTCCATACTTGGTCCTCTCTTATACATAATGTACGTCAATGACTTCCCCTCCGATTGCTCGGTAATGTATGCTGATGACACTTCTTTACTTGTTAATGGTAAAAACCTAGAATATGTTGTAGGACTTGCCAATTCAAGCTTGACTGGTGCAGGCAAGTGGTTCAGCTATAATGGGCTTGTCTTAAATAATCAGAAATCTGTTTTCCTTATGTTTAACCTTTCCACCTCACCGATGGATCACACTTTATTAATAAAATCGTTTGGCAAATCAATAAAACAAGTGGATGCGACAAAATTTTTAGGAATATATATATCTCAGAATTGTAGATGGGATACGCATATTGAGAAAAGTAGCCAAAAGATCACCCCACTCTGTTACTGTCTGTACCAGTTAAGTTTTGTTGTGGAGAAGTGGATATTACTGATATTTTGCCATGCACATATCCATTCAGTCCTAATTTATGGAATAGAAGCATGGGGAGCATCGTCCCAGCTGCAAAGACTTTTTGTGTTGCAAAAAAATGCTGTTCGAGTAATAGCTAAAATTGGAAGGCTCACTAGCTGCAAGGATTCATTTAGAACATTAAAGATTTTAACCTTCCCATGTGTATATAGACTCAATATACTTATCCTTGCTAAAACACAATTGAGCAAGTTCAATTCTGTAAGCACTGGTGCTTACTTTACAAGGAACAGTCAAGTATTGGAGGTGCCGTCGCATAGATTGGCGAGAACGGAGGAGAGCCCTAGATACATGGCTATTAAGTTTTTCAACAGACTACCCAACAATTTGAAATCACAACCACTGAACACTTTTAAAAGAACAGTCAAACAGTTTTTACTGGAGAAAGCTTTTTACTCTATTGAGGAATTTTTAATGTGTGTCTTGTTTGATTTTGATCATTGTTGTTTGAATGTCATTTAATGGTTTGTCCTTTATTTCGCTTTTTTATATATACATATATGTTTTATATTTATAAATTCTATCAATAAGCTAATTTTATTTATCTGTATCCATATTTGGAATATACCATATGTGGTACGAATATGTGTGCGTCCACACTAACATGATTTGTTATTAGCTTTTGTAGTACTCTGACTGACTTATCCTATATCACATCTGTGATCATACAGGACTAATGAATTATTATTATTATTATTATCTTTATTGCCATTTAACTTAGCTTGTCAAGGCACATAATACGAAAAAATACCATTTAGACTACCATTAAAGTATGCACATCAAAAGTTGTATAATAGATAGTAATATTCATTGGATTTGGTCGTTACCTCAACGATACTGTCATAATGAATATCACAATTATCTGCTATTGCATTAAAGTTGGAACACATAAAGTATATGGGAGACCTGATCAAAACATTTGATCTTGGCGTATTCAAATAAAAAGCCGGACATCTACGTGAAGCGCGAGATCGCACATGAAGACTGAGTTTGGATAGCAAGGCCGGAGAGTCAATTTGATTATGGACGAGCTTATAAAGAAATCTTAAACTGTTATTAATTCTTCTTAACTCTAGCGGCTGCATCTCGAATCTAAACAGCATAGTCACTGCCTTGCATCGGATAGATACCATCCAATTTCAATGTCAAGTACTTCAAAAAAAGGCGCTGCACGTCCTCAATTGTATTAATATGATTTTGGTAGCAAGGGTTCCACTGGATACTTATTCCAGCTTTGACCGAACTAGCGCACAGTAAAGCGCTTTCAGCGCAATTTCACTAGAGAAAGATTTGCAGTTTCTTATCAAGAACCCGAGTGTCTTCATAGCGGACGAAACTATGTTATTAATATGACAGGCGATCTTTAGATCATCAGCAAAGAGCAAGCTAGGACAAGTAAGACAGTCAATCAGATCGCTGATAAAATAAAGGAACAGGAGAGGCCCAAGATTAGCCCCTTGAGGCACCCCAGATGGTACATTATAAACAAAAGAATTAAAAACATTATAAGAGACGTATTGAGTCCTTCCACTTAAGTAGGAAGTGAAAAGTTTCTGCAAACGAAAGCCAAAGCCGAAATATGGCAGCTTGCCAATAATCTTATTGTGACTAATCTTATCGAAGGCCTTTGAGAAGTCAGTATAGACTACATCCATCTGTCCTTTATCATACAAAACACCTGCTATTTCCTGAGTAAGTTCCATTAAGTTTGAGACGGTTGAACGGTTACGCATGAATCCATGCTGTGATTTCAATATCAGATGCTTAGTTAGAGGGTAAATTGTCCAATATGGAAATAGCTCGGTAATTTTCAATGTTACATGGGTCACCAGCTTTTAGTATAGGGCATACTTTTGCCGATTTCCATTTCGTAGGAAATGTTGCTGTGATAAGGGCGCAACTGAATATTTTCTTCAGAGGCTTTACAAATATGTGGGCTGCATCTCTAACTACGAAGCTTGGTATCATATCTTCCCCAGCGGTCAACTTATTTCGTAGTTTGAGCAGGGATTTTAAAATAATTTCATTTCTGATGAAAAGTATTCTTCATATTGTAAAAACGGTTATCCATCAGTAGACTTTTAACGCGGAGTTGGAAAACATTGAAATTGGTGACAGCTGTGATAATTATTGACAACTTGTTGAACAATATAGTAGTCTGATGAAGCGGTGCTATGTTGTGGGGTACGAAGACGGTAGGTATTCGTAAGATTTTTTTCGAACATGACATCGAGAGTTTTGAATAGCTGTCGACAAGACGTGGGCTTATTACTAAAAGTGATTATACGAATAACTCTCTTCTGCACAAGGACAGACATATGTGAGCTTCTACACCAGGAAACGATACAGTAATTCATAGCTGACAAAACAGTGCTTTGAAATTTTATTGTCTAAACAGTCAATATGATCCCTCCAAGTGATTCTTGAATCGATCATGAGACCAAGGAATTTAGTGGCCT